GCGGCGGTTGGTGGCTCCCTGGGCCGCGCGGGAGCGGGAGGGAGGGCGGACGTGGCGGCGCCGCGAGGCCAGGCCGGGCCTTTCGCCCTGCTCCGTGCAGTGATGCCCAGTACTGAAATAAGACGGAAGGTGGCAACTTATTTTTAATAGTTTTAAATGTTGATGATAATCCTAATTATATAAATATATATGCACATATATATCTAGTGATTTCTAAAGATTTGTTTACTTTTTGTGTTTTGTTTCACTGTACTAAGAGTGTGTCCTCCTCCTCGAATCAGAGTAGGACATGCGCCCCTCCTGGTTTCGAGTGCTGGCCTTGCTCGGTGCCCAGCACGGTACCGGGCGTGCGCGCCCCGCAGCAGCCGCAGCTTCCCTGTTGGTGTTCCAAGTGAGATGGCTTCTGGCTTTTCTGGTTTTCACAGCAAGCTAGAGATTTTCCAAGCTCTCTTTTTGGGTAAAATCCCGTATTAAAAAGAAAACATGGTTAATATTTTCGTCTGTTCCTCTTCTTTGGAGTGGGGCAGGCCTTTCGATAGCAACATCTTACTCCCTGAGCATTTTTTGAACCCTGAGCTCAAGCTAAGGTCCCCATCTTGGGCCGCGGAGCCCATGGAGCCCCGCCGGGTGCCCTCCAGCAGTCTGCGGGGTGCTCAGAGAGGCCTCAGGCAGCTGGACTCCGCGGACACGGAGGGACCCTTGTTTGTGAGGCGGAGTGGCAGCTGTCCCTAGGAAGTCTCTGATTTTCCGAACCACACGTTTTCATGTGGTCTCTAAGGTCCTGAGTGCTTAGTTTTTAAAGCTGAGTGAATTGCCTGTTCTTTGGCCTAGTAAACGTGGCTGCCAACAAGTGGTGTCCGGCTGCCCTGTGAAAGATGAGCACAGCAGGCACTTGCCAGCTCCCTGCTGGGGATGAGCAAGGTGCTCAGGGCTGTGGCCTTTTCTTTGGCCAGCAGGGCAGGGCTGCTTGCAGCACTGTGCTCACAAGCAGGCTTTGCCCCTGCTGTGGGTGCCTGCCATTCCCTGCCTGCTCTGTGCGCCTGTGAACTTGGCAAGGAGAGGCACGTGCTTTCCCCTGGAAGTGCGAGGCTGCGCCTGTGCACCTGATGGACCCGAGGCATTTCCTGGCCGTTCCCATGTACGCCAGGAGTAGGAGGCTGGGTCGTTTTCAAGCTGTGCTCCAGGGAAGACCTGAGGTGCTGAGGAAGCCAGGGTCCCAAGGCCGTCCTGAGCTCACTTCTCTCCGGGGTAGTGATGTCTATTCTCAGGGCCTCAGTGTCCTTATTTCCTTGTATGATGAATGAACAGACTGAGGTTACTGAAATAACTTGCTGAAAATCTCCGAGACCAGCCCAGTGGGGCGCCACAGGCTCAAGGGCCTAGGACCCTGGGAGGCTGAGGCAGTAAGGTGGCAGTTTCCATACCAGCCTGGGTGGCTTAGTCCATCTCAGAAAAGGGGTGGGATGGGACATGTAGCTCTTCATGGAGGGGCTGGCCTCAGTCCTGAAGTGTGGAAAGAACCTCAGAGGCTGCTTATCCTCCACTAGCCAGGCCTGTGTGTGTCTTCAGATCACCAAGAGATGTAGAAGGTGGGCTTTCAGGCACTTAGTGTATGTGGGAATTGTGGGAAAGTGGTTACATGGGCATTGGCCAGACTGCACTGGTGTGTGTCGTGGAAACAGGCCTTTCTTGTCGCAAAGCTCGAGAGGCTGGAGGCCACTCGCTGGGCAGGAGCCCCGCTCCCTACCCCTCAGGTAAGCACGTTGCAGCCTGCCTGCTGTCCAGGAAAACCCACCCAGTTCTTATCCCCAAACAGGCAATGGGGAGGTGATTTTTTTCCCTGGCAGTTTCTAGAATAGGCTCATTGGAAGGTGTTTTTATTTTGTTGTTGAGAGGTGGCGGGTCATACATTTAAAATAGCCACAGGTTCCCAATATCCACGGTCGTGCCAAATTAACCTTTCATTTAAAAATGAGAGAATAAACTTCTGTAAATCATTGGTTCTGTTTTTCTGATGGTTAATATGTGCAAGTACAGAATACGGAAGCCTGGCCGGAGGCAAGAGGCCAGGCCTGGGCGGTGGTGGCCAGAGAAGGACGGGGCTGGGGGGCGTGGGGCACGAAGGGCTGGCCACTCCCGTGTTCTGGCGAGTGCTGCTTCTGTGTCACACCACGCGGTCGCTGTCCCTGATCCCACAGAGTGAGTGTACCTCATAGAGCATGGCTGTAACCTGACCTGAGAATCCAGCTCACTTTCATTTAAATGTCAGTTTGAGGCAGGTGAAGCGCAGAGTCTAGTAACCTCATTAAGGGTCACCCTGCTATTGTAATCAACAGCACCTCATATAACATATTCCTAAAGTTCTATGTGTAAATTGAATTTGAGTAACTTGAATTGTATTTAAATGCACCAGTAGATTTGTTATTGAAATGAATCTGCCCTGTTGGACCTGAGTGTGCCAGGCCTGGCAGAGGAAGCCTTGGAGGGATGCGTTCTCTGCTGCCTGCCTGTAGCCCAAGGAGGGAGCAGCTCGCCCCTCCTCCACAGAGGGCACAGCAGCGAGTGGAGCAAGCCTGGGGCGGGGGAGGAGCTGGCACCCGGGAGCACTGCGAGGACCCAGGTGCTCCAGCCCAGGAGCTCCCATCGGCGGACTTTCTAGTCTGAGCCCCGCTTCCAGGGCCTGGTGTGAGGGGAGCAGAGGCCGCGTTGGCCAACTTGTGCTCCTGGCACAGTGCTTGGAGCTTCTTCTCGGCCATGAGGTGCTGAGGGGGCATGTGCACAAGCACCCAAGCTCCTAGCGCGCTGCCTGGGGCTGTTTGGGCCAGGTCCTAGGACAGGGCGTGCGCAGGGTGGCCCTGCCGCAGGACTCCAGAGCCCAGCTGGAGCTCTGTGCACTTGTTCTGCTTGTACTGCCAGGCACCTCAGGAGGGATCAGGGTGGCATCTGGTGGCCTTAGTGACAAGGCAGTGGAGTTGAGGCCAGTGGCTGAGTTGTCATTTCCAGCAACTCTGGCTCCTGGTTTTAATGGTGTCAGTATCCTCTTTCTAAGGCCGTTGTACTTGACCCAGACTTAGGTGGGCGCATGCGTGTGCGTGTGTGTGTGTGTGTGTTTTGTATATATGAATACAGATGTATGTGCAGACATGTGTGTATGAAATTTTCTTAACCCCAGAGACGCGTGTCGGCACAGCGTAGGCCATGCTGTGTAACAACCGCCATGGCGCTGTGCTGCTGCTGCTGCAGGACCAGGGAGACCCAGGCACATCACAGGGACTGCATGGGCTCTGTGACTGAGCAGTCTCTGCCCTGGTTGCCCAACCAGGCCGTCACCAAACACTGCCACCACACAGGCAAAGGGACAGCACCATCTCCTCCCTGTCTCAGTCCCCTCCCCAGCTTCCTGTTTCTCCCTGATGGGTCCTGGCTTTCCAGGGCCTGGTAGACAAAGTCGGCCTGTGGCCTGGACCCCAAGCTCTGGTTCCATGCTAACTTGGTACAGTTCTGGAGGAGCTGCTTTTAGGTGTTGGGGGAATTCTGTGTAGCATCCCCGCCTGGGAGAGCCCCGGGACAGCCATCTCCCCACAGCCCACTTGCTCCACCCTCACCTGTCCTTCAGCAGGACTCAGTGCTGCAGCAGAAATGAGCGCTAGGAGCTAGGACCTAGGACGAGGAGCCTGCAGGCATTCCGGGGCGTGTTCCTGTGGGATGGACTCGGCTTCCTTCCTGCACAGCTGAGGCACTGTCCAAGGCTGCTGGGCAGGGAGCTGTGTGTTATGGACCCAAGTGTCCGCGCAGGCATCCTGGAACACAGCGTGTCCAGCCACTTGTGGCCCTGGCCGCTGAATGAATGGTGTCATGGGCTGCCTTGTGAACTGCCGTAGCACAAGGCAGATGAAAGTGCTGGCTCCACCACCCGCTACTACTCAGATTTGGCTTGGCGGGTGCCCCAGTTGGGAAATACTCCATTTATTTTATACAGATGTATTGCAAAGACTTCAGTGTGAACAACCAATAGCCACCTCTGAAGTTGTTGGCTGTAAGTTTTCAGGTAAATCTTACAGCTGACTTGAAACAAACTGTCCCCAGTGTCAGTCCAGTGGCAGGGGACGGTGGTTGGGATAGTGTACACCTCCTCGGGCCCAACAGTGGAACTAATACACTAGCGGGCACCAGAATGTGTTGTCAGTGAACCCTAAAATGTGTCTAGAGAAAGTTACTTCTGTCTTATCCATGAACTGAAAGAGAAAGTTTATTTGGTCACTGGCAGTTGTCAAAATAGCAAGCTCCAGGCTTGTGTTATCTGGTGATTGAAGGGCTGACATGGTTCGGACTGTGGTATAATTTCTGTTAGGAAGTTAATTCAGTCGTGGGCCAGGGAGGCAGCTCAGTGGTAGAGCACTTGCCTGGCATGCATGAGGCCCCTGGCTTTATCCCCAGCAACTGGAGAAAAGAGTTCAGTCCTAACACACCAAAAGGACTGTAAGGGGCCAGGGTGAGCACTTGGCAAGCTGTGTGAGGACAGTGGGGCTTGATCGCCCGCTCTGCTGTCCTGTGCTGAATTCCGCCTGGATGGCAGTCAGGTCAGGAATGGCTTCCATCCCGCACCACCCTCTTTCTCAAAATCAGGTGCTAGAGCAGAAGTCCTTGCGTTACTAGGACCTCGGCTTAGGCTGACTGAGGCAGAACCTTGCATCTGGCCCCACAACATTACTCTCCCAGGCTGGGGCCCCAGTGGGTGGCAGGGTAACAAAGTCCGCTGCATGGAAAGGTGCTTCCAGCCGCAAGTTGGCCACACCAGTGACATCTAGCCGGTCTTCTCGGAGCTCGGGTCCCACAGGCTGAAGGATTGCTGTGGGCACCCAGGGCTGTGGACGCTGCCCCTCACAGGCTCCAGCCCGCATCTTCAGGGCAAGTCCCATCCCCAGGCCACGGGTAGGGAGGGGAAACTCCACTGTCTACTCAGCAGCCTCGTCCAGGGTTTACCTTCCCTAAAGTGCCTGGGTTATGATGCCTACTGGTGCTGCTGAGTATCTGGTGCAAAATGGGCACTGCCAGGCTCTGGGCTGCAGCCACAGCGAGAGAGGGATGACTGTCCAAGGGTGGGGGGAAGGGATAGGAGCGGTCTTGGGGAAGCACCACCCACATGGCTCTAAATTATGTCGTTCTTCTATTCTTAGTGAAAAACAGTTTGGACAGCGCTTGTGTCCTCCACAGCCCTGTAGATTGCCCACCTAACTTTTCCTTCCCCAAAAGGTTAATTTCTATTTCCAAACAACCAAGAGTTGGTCTCTGGTATGTATTTTTTTCACACCTGAAGCACTTCTAAGAGCATCGCTCAGGAAGCTAGGCTCATCATCGTGCTTTTAGACGTTGCACTTCCAGACTATCCAGCCTGCTGGCATCTTAGTCGCGTGGGCACAGCAGCAGTGAGGGAGCTGGTCATTGTAGCTTAGAGATGCCAACTGAGTACAGAGCAGGGCCCATGCTTTTGCTAGAACAGGGCCTGTGCTGAGACAAGTGTGCGGGACCAGTTCTGTTCCCTGGTCATAAGCGTCCACTCCCAAACTGACAACATCACACACTATTTTTTTTTTTTTTAGTTCTTTTTTAAAATGTATTTTGTGTAGGGCCTCACTATGCAGCTCAGACTCGTAGTGATCCTCCTGTTTTCAAGCCTCCCAGCACTGGGATCACAGGCATACACCTCCATGCCAGGTCTCAGTGGCTGGCTCAGTGCGCCCAGGGGCAGGGCCAGCATGGCATGTGGCACCAGGCGTGAACCCCAGTCCCTGTGCTTACCTAAGCAGGTGTTTAGTCTGCTGAGCTATCCTGCTGGTCCATCACACTTTCTTAACCCCATTTGGGGTTCAGTTGACTGTCATATTCATACTGACCACACCTCCTTCAGCATGTTTTGGGTGGGCAACTAACAAAGAAATGGGAAGATTCCATGTGCAGAGGTAGAATATATCTGAGCATAGCATCTTGGCTTTTTTTTGGGGGGGAGTACAGTCTCACTGTGCAATACAGGCTGACCTCAAACTCACAGCGATCCTTCTGCTTAGCCTCCCAGATGCTGGGATTACAGGTATGTGCCACCATGCCTGGCATCTTCTCTTTCATAAATTTTGCCATTTACTGCCAAACTGCCTGTGGCCCAGGCATCTAGAATCTCTGTCCAGGATTACCTCCATGTCTAGAAGTCCAGATGAACTAGGGTACCTCCCTGAAACAAACATAAAATAATTCCTGTGGGCATTAGCTAACTCTTTAGCTGTCTCTGAGAAAACCAGAATTTTTTGCAGCAATTAAGTTGCATGATTGGATACAGGGGAAATTTTATAATTGCTCACAGGTTGCAATTTCTGAGGATAGATGTTACTTATGACATGTGTCGAAAGGTCAAAGTTTATACTTCCTTGGACATTAAGCTAATCTTTGAAACTCTAAAAGTTACACTTTTTGGTCATTAATTTTTTTTTACAAGCAGAGATTTTGACAATTAACCCAGTTAATAAAGGTCAAATTTCAATTTTTTCCAATTTCTGGAGCATTTAACTTATTCCTTTTTGAAAATGGGAAGATAGTGGCTGATAAATAGTTATTAAATGAGGACAAGGGTGTAGCTGTGCTGTCAGGGTGGTGAGTATTAAGCAGCTGATCTTGGAAGAATAGAATCGCTGTGTGTCTGATGGCAAGCAAAGCAAAGTCCATTAGGAGCCAAGGAGACAGCAACTTGGCCCAAGTACCGTGCACCGCGAGGAGGGTGGTGTCACCTCAGGAACCTGGGTCCCTCCACTATGTGGGCTGCAGGCTTCAAACCTCCAATGTGCAGCGCATGAGGTAAAGTAAGGAATGTCTGCAAGCCATGCAGCCCAGTGCGTCTTGGTAGGAAGTCAAATGTCATGTGCTGCAGCTCTAAGTGGACCCTCAGATGAGCTGCCCACAGAATACGCCCAGGGGCAGGTCAGGACCTGAGACTACCTATGAAGGTGAGTGGCAGGGCCCTGCTGGGCAGCTCTGCCTGCACAAACCCACTGCAACCACCCCGGGCTGCCCAGGCCAGGTGTGTGGATCAAGAAGGGCATCTAAGAATCTGTCCAGGCCCAGGAAAGGGCAGAGAAAATGCACAAAGCCCTCCCTGGCACCCGAACAAGCCGAGCGAAACATCTCTCCTCTGTCAAAGCCAAGCCCTCATGTGCTATCCCCCTGCCCTTCTGCACCACACAGGGCCTCTTGAACAATTTCAGTGCCCCTGCTCGTTTGCGCCCCCTGGTGGTGGAGCCAGCTGGGATGAAAAATCAGCCTGGCGCTGCCCAGGGAGGCATAAGCAGAGCCTTTGTACCCCACTTCCTGGGAGCAGGAACCTTGCCAGACCCAGCCAGGAAGCTGAGGCAAGCGGTGGTTTTGGTTTATGTTGGGTGCCTTGGGGACTGTGGCATTGCAGAAATAAAGTTCTTGGTACCAACGTGCTCCGTCCTGAGGAGCCACTGCACACTGGTGTCACGTGTGTGGCTAAACAGAGGCTTGGATGGGAGGAAGCAGAGCGGTCACTCACTTTCAAGAAGGTTAAATCACTCTAGCAGCCCACATACAAATTGGTTCCCAGCACTCTTGGCAGCAGCCAGGCCTCGGGGACCTGGACCATGGGCGCCCCCAGAGGAAGAGCGGTCTGGGCACAGTTGTGATGCTCAGAACCCTTTGTGCCTTCAGTGTTAGAATGGGCTGTCTCCTCCTAGGCAGAAATGGTGACTCTGACCTTCACTTTTGCTCCCTCTGTGCCCTCAGTTCTGGTGGGGCTGACACCCGCAGCAGGCGCCATCCTGTCCATTTCCTTGTCCCCATCTCCCAGTTCCAGCCTGCGTGTCCCCACCAAATCTTGAGGCTCTGACAAAGGCCTGCTGCGGGGCCGTGGTCTAGGCTGGGCATGGTCTGGACCAGTTGGGGGCAGTCTGGATGGTTGCCTGCCCCCAACCACACCATTGAGTCATTATGTTGTAAACAGTAGGTGGAGGCTTCCATCACTGGAGCGAAATGCTACATATAAGGAACAGGACAGCCAGAACTGTTACCAGTGGGGTTGGGTCTCATCCATGTTTCTTGGCACCCTGACCAAATAATGGAGCAGCATGCTCCAGAGTTGAGGCAAGATCAGTGATTCATTTGAGAGGGAAACACAAGATCCACTCCACAGAGGAAGTGCAGGCCAGGGAGAAGGGCTCACGGCCTAAGATCTTCAGTGCTGAGGGTTTTAAACCTTAGCATTTGAGGTAGGACTGATGCTTTGGTGTGAGGCTCCACTCCTGCTGGGGAGTGGCTTGACTCAGCCCCTCCATTGGGCAGTGGAGATTTTTGGACCTTTTTATAACCCTTAGAGGAACTATCACGGTGGGCGCCTAAAGCACACAGGGCCCAAGTTTCATAGTCAATGACATGCAGGGTTGGGGGCCAAGGGTTTCATAAAATGCTGGGCACAAGCCCACGACTTGTGTGTGTAAGCTGAGTCACCAGGTCACCTTTGCACACTGTGTTTAGTCTTGGTCCTGGGCTCAGAAGGGAGATCTGGTCCAGAATCAGCTCTTCCTTCCCCTTCCCTTGGTTACCATGGACTCCTGGACCGTGGGTGCTCCATCTATCTCCAGCCTACTCTCTTGTGGGAGGCTCAATAACTCCAGGCCTCCAATCCTATTGCAAGTGGGTTTCCGGGTTCCTGTGAAACTGCCGCATCATGACTCTGCGCCACGTATTCCTTAATGGTCACCCGAGTGCCTCTGAACTATAAAATTCTCTTGGTGCATCAGCGTCATTAGTGATGCTGATTTCCTCTTCCCCTACCTCTGCTGAGCTAAGTTCCTAGTTCTTCTTACACCGCCTGTTTCCCATAAGTCTCCTGCTATGCCCTGGAGGTGGGACTTCCTGTCATAGCCCGATTGCCTAGTTACTTGCGCCTTTTACCCGCTGACGTCATTTCCCTACGCCTCCACTATATATACACCCAGAGTTTCCTGTGAATAAACGAGACGTGATCAGAATCCTGTCTTGTCTCCATTTCTCACGTTTCCTGTCCTTTGTCCCCTCCTCAATTCCCTGCTCCTCTCCCAGGTGACCTTCGTTGACTGACCCACTGGTTTGGGACACTCCTTAGCTACTTGCTGCCTCAGAATGAACTCAGCAGTGCTGTACGAGAAGCCCAAGGGCCAGTACAGTCACAGTTCTGCATCTGTGCCAGAGAGACACGGAGTCACAGGTGTTTGCACATGGCTTGGCATGTCTGTCAACCCTGGGCTTTCCAGATCTGTGCACTGCAGGGGCTGGGAATCTCAGACACCCCAGGGACCCCCAGAACCCAAGCATCCCTGTCTTGGCTTCCATACACCACTTTCCAGTAGTGAAGGGCTCACTGGAGAAATGGTGTCAGGACTAGGACCACAACACCCAAGATGAACTGGGACATCTTGTGCTGCAGGCAGTAGAGAAGCCTCAAAAACAGTAGTGCTTGTCAGGGGGACCAGGAGTGGGAGGGAGGGAGGCAGCACTTGGCATCAAACTGGAAAACTCATAATACAGAGAGTAACAGTGGGACAACAGTCACACAAGCTCTTCTTCACAGTAGATTTACTATGATTAATCTAGAAGAAAGAACAAAGTAGCAAAATCACTCGCCCAGGGAACTCATCACACAGTGATAACCAGGGCAGACAGTGTCCAGGGATGGACATGAATATCTGAGGGTGCTAACTTTGTGAAGAAACAGGATTGCACTGTGTCAAGCACCTCCCCAAGAGAGACAGTAGTGGGAACACAGGCTGCTTTAGGGTGGAAAGGCTGGACAGGCAGACAGTGCCTTCCCGGGTGATCCAGGTGGAAGTCACCAGTGATGAGAGGTGGATACCAGGAGCTCCAGCACAATGCAGCCTTGCGTCTGAGGGGATCTGCCTGGGATTGTGCCCTGTGCCCCACCAGCTTGGCTGCCCTAGGCACTGGGAGCATCCAGGTGTGTCAAGGAGGCAGACCTTGGTTAGCATATCTGGTCCTTGGCCCTGTCCCCCGGCACTGTTTCCTTGCTCTGACTCCCAGACACCATGGTTTGAGCAATGTACTCCTCGGGCCCTCCATCATCTCGTTCTTGCCTGGGAGCTGATCAACCATGGACTGAAACCTCCCGAACCAGGAGCTAATGAGACCTTGGTGGTGGGTGTTGTCTCGGCAACAGCGCAATGCCTGAGGGGTACAGCCTCAGGCCAGTCCTGACAGGACAAAGGGGACGTGTTGACTGATGGGGACTCTTGCCGCATGTTCCAGTCCACTTCATTTTTTTTGGCAGAACCGGGGATTGAACTCAGGCCCTTGTGCTTGCCAGGGAAGCGCTTATTCCACTGAGCCATCTCCCTGGCCCCTCCAGTCCAGAAGATAGGGACCAAGGCACCATGACAGACTGGTGGAGACTGAGGAGATATGACAAGGAAAGCAACATAGGATGCTGGATGGGATCCCAGAAGGGAAGACAGCATTAATGGATAAACGAGTGCAATCAGAACAGGGCCGCAGCCCAGCTTGCAGCGCATCTGGCCTCGCCTCTCAAGTATGCTAACTCATTAGGGTCATGAAGCACACCGGTTAAGGTGAGGGGAAGCTGGCGAGGGAGAGCTGGACATGGCGCTGTTTCCACAGCTCTGCTGTGAGTCTAAACTTAGCTCAAATCAAATCTCAGCAGCACCCTGGGTCCCCGCCAAACCCGCCTGGGTTTCAATCCCTGCCCTGCTGGCCCCCTGGAGCATGGGGTCTCCTGCCACCCCCGAAAGGGGCGGGCCTCAAGTCAGAGCTCCAGGCCAGTGCAGGGGGCGGATGCTGCGGGCTGCACACAGGGACATCAGCTGCCAGGCTGCACAGGGAGGGCTTAAATGTCTTTTTTAAAAGTACAGCAAGATCTGCAGGCAAATCTGTGGCAGCACAGAAGGACCCAAGTGTTGCTTTTTTGTTTTTCGAATGAAATCCCAAGAGACTGGTAGACTACACAAAGGAGAGGGGACAGGGCTTTTGAGGCAACTGGCACAACTCAGCCAATAGCAGCACAGGCTGGCGCTGCTTCTCGGGAAGGGGAGAATCGCATTCCTGGGCGCAGCCCTGAGCCTGGCTTCCTGGACTCCGGCGCTGCGGGCGGCGGGCGGCTCCAGCACCCACTGCGGGTACCCCTCGCCGAGGCCAGGGGCTCCCTGCCCTGCTGTCAGGCCTCTTCTCTCTTTCTGATCCACTGTTTTCAACAAGGCCCAACCCTAAGTTTCTGTCGCCTCCCAAAATGTCATGAAGTTACGATCCTGTCGGTTCATGAGTGAAGTTAGAGCCTCATCGTCGTCCAGTTGGCTTCCTAAAGCCCCACCACCGAGCACAGCAGCCGTGGGGCGGAAGTCTTCGCCACGCCCCTGGCCTTTGAGAACACCCTAGGTCCAAGCCACACCCACGCCCAACCCCGGGAGCCCTGTGGAGGTGCTGCTTCGTGGGTTCCCTTCGAGGCCACCCTGGGTGACAGGCGGAGACCAGAGCACCAAAGAAGGGACAGGGGCTCCTCGCACTATCCCACAAGCTGGGCATTTACCGTGTGCCACGCGGCCCTCATCAGAGGCAGATGGGGAAACAGAGGTGCAGAGAGATTAGTGATATGCAAACTTGTGTGTGAGCCCACATGGGTGAGAACACGTGTGTGAATGTTAGCGCGCGGTGCCTGCGTGCAGACGCGGGAGACCGCGCATGCGCACTTGTGTTGACCAGAGTCTGCAGACAGCCGGACTCTGCCTCCTCTGGCGACTGCAAGCTGTGTCACCGCTGCCAGGAAGGAGCTGGGCCCAGGAAGGCTTGCGGCCCGCTGAGGGCACCAAAGCCGTGTTTGTCCCTATGGGGAGTGTGCCTCCCACCAGGGCAGCTTCCGGTGCTGGCCAGGAGCCCAGGTCCTTCTTCTGGGCAGTGCCCCTCCGCCCTGCTGCTTTGGGAGCCCTGCTAGCTGGTCTTGGAGGGTTGTTTCTACGTCTGCCTGCACCACTGAGCTCCCACCTGCAGGGCAGACACACGCCAAAGCAAGGTGAGATGTTCACAGCTGTAAGCCAAGGGCCACACCCTGTGCCCTGCCCTGAAGGACTCTGGTGTCTCCACCCAGGGAGACCTAGAAGGTGTTCTCCTGGGCAGGGGCCCTGTGCCAGGCCTTGCAACGGCTCTCCAACTCCTTCGGGCACAGACACCTTTTATTTCTCTAGCAGATTGCCAAGGTCCCCCATCTCAGGCCCTTCACACCCAGTGCTGAATCTCCATGCCTGGGAAGAACGACTTTCACCACCCTGTGGTCTGGAGGAGAAAAACCAAGGGTCACAGAGGTCAAATGCCCACTGCTGCAGGCCCTTGTAGGAGTCGAAGTCCTCTTGGTGACCCAGAGGCCTGGGATGTGGACCAGACCTGGAAGGTCAGTCCAGGTCAGGCTGGGGAAGTGAGGAGCAGTGGTGACCTCGCTGTCACTCAGCTGGGACAGTTTAAGCTGCACGGGGCGCAGCCTTGTGCTCCCTGCTCCCCGACACCTGCAGAACTCTGCCTTTGTGATTCCTTTGGGGCTGTGCCCTCATGCGCATTGGAAATCCCACTGAGCAGGGATGGCTGCTGACCTCTCCCCTCGGTACAAACCAGCCCCTCCCAGCTCACCCCAGCCAGCACCCGCTCTGTGAAGATGCTACCTCCTTTCCTTGATGCGTGGGCTTCACATCTGCACCACCTACTTATCTTGACAGCTCCTGCTTCTCCGTGAACAGTAAAGCAGCCTCCTGCTTAGCCGCATGGAGCTGGCCCTACTGTCTGGGGAGCAGAGGGGACAAGAAGACAGGCAGTGCACAGGGACAGGCACAGC